AGACAAAGATAGTATCTAATTCCACTACACAGATTCAAAAAGCTTGCACCTACTTCCTTGGAAACTGCTTATTTATTTGGTAACTCTATGATTTTTTTTTTCCCCTGCCTGAAGTCTTGTCCCTTCCCCCTTCCCCCAATATAATGTCATGTACTTCCTGTGTCAGAGAGAGTATTTGCTAAATCCAGGTTGTCTCATACTTAACTGCCAATAAACCAACTTCCACATAACTTCCAGACAGCTGGGGGAAAGGTCCTAGGAGTTTTAGTCATGGTCGAGAAACATGCGTCCACACAAAAATCTGCAGCTGTCCTTTCTCCACTAGGCATTTTTAATGTGATTCAGGTTAGGAGGGGGCTGATTTCGAGAAACATCTGACAAAATGCCAAAATCCTCAGAGCTACCTTCTCGGTTACCCACGGTGTGTGTGAAAGGGAACTTACAGGAGGATTTCTCAACGGAGAAATCTAGGCACTTTTTGCACACACCCGGGTACCCTGTTGGATGGGCGAAGGCATTCGGATCCTGGAAAGACATCTCCTGGCATCTTGAAAAGCACAGCCCCCTCTGCACAACTATTAAAATGCCAGTTTTCTAAAGCAAGTCTTGTTGTGTGTGTGTGTTGGTGTGCTGTGCAGGGCTGCAGCGATCCTGCATGACTAACAGAATAGCATTCTTGCTCTGCAAAGCTCCCAGAAACCCTCCTGTAACTTCTCACAGCTTGCTAAGAAACAGAAAGCTAACTCAACTTCTAACAGTGACTCTAAATGAAATCCCTATCAGTAAAATTAAAACCAAGGTGGGAAATCTCCTAGTCAAGAAGGGACCGTTTTCCTCAAAAATCTTTTCTTCCTCAGAGATATGGGGCAACAACAATCAAAGCTTCTTCCTCTAAGTAGTGAAAAGTTTAAAAAAAAAAAAAACCACTTCTAGATAAGCACTTTAGGCTTCCAACTGCTAAGAGTTTTTTTTTTTTTGGGGGGGGGGAAACGGGTGAAGGGGAGGCTTTCCGCAATCTCCACAAATTGCCAAGTACTAGCATATTAAATTTATAATCATTAAAATATGACTTCTTGGGTGAATGTTGAGCCCATAATCCATACTGCAGACATTAAACCCCAACCTATAAAGATTAGCATGGAATTAATACTGTTGCATTGAGATTGAAATCTAAACATGTTCGCCATAAATATTTCTGAAGGAGATGAAAAACAATTAGCATAAATACCAAAGAAAGGCAAGAACACCTGTTCTTTTTCAGGGCGATAAGCATTTTATTGTTCTCTATTTAAAATGTAATGACCTGTGTAATTACAGTAATATTACATTGTTATGGAGGGGTTTGGAATGTCACACTTTGAAAAGTGTTGTCAAAACAATCAGGGGTGAAGGTGGGGGGTGGGAAGACAACAGGGAAGGACCAACATTAACCCTTCACACTCCAAGGTCTCAATCTTTTGTATTACAAAGGATTATGTTGTTTTTCACAAGCAAGAAGAGAAGTTGCCTGGTTAAATAAAACCCCAATGAATAGGCCCCTCTTGGTTTCCTTTAAATGCTGGATTCCAAGTTCAAAAATGAATTCAAGATGCTGCTTATTTATCTGTGCAGCCTAGTAGCAAACAGCTCAGTTGAAAAGCAAATAACTTTGGATAAAAGAGGAGGCAAGAATTCTAATAATACCAACGGAATCTTTATAAAGAGAAATTTCAAACCTAACTGGGATTTTCATCACTACAGTACAGTTCTATTTCTTGTTTGCCAGGAAAAGGGAGGGGGGGGAGGGAGAGAAATGTAAAACTACTCTTTCTTTCCTATCAACTCTAATAAGGTAATAGTATTCTTATCTTTCATATACCCATGTAACAATTCTAATATTTGCAGTTTGAACCCTTCCCGTAGACTTAACTGGATCTCTCTTTAATGCCTTTTGAATCTGAATCTGTCCTTTTAAAAGCCATTCCCATTACTGTATCAAAGGCTAAATTAGGGTTATGTGGAAATCTTTGTCGTGTTAAAATAAAATTATTACTACCAAGCTTTCTGGCGTCTCTAGCAATTAAAGCATTATTCTTGAGATAATGTATTATTCAGCATAAGCCCATTTAATGATACCCCTTAATTCTTTACATTCTTAAACAGAGAAGCAGAAATCCGAGTTCCAGAGATTTTGGTTTTTAAAGGATGCAGTTGTTTTACAGGTAGGCTCATAACAGAAAATGAAACAAATTTTAAAAAACAACAAAAATAAAAACAAAAACCACTCAGCAAGGAGGAACAAGAAGAGAAGCAAGCATGCCGCTAATTTGTCAATACACCTTGACCTCAAAAACCACCCCATAAACCATGAAGAATTTCAGAGGAGCTTGGAATGACCGCTATCCTGCCTATGGATTCCTCCAGAAGCTGAATCAAATCTGGAATTGCAAGCTGGCCCAGGGATGGAGGGAGACACAACAACCTGGGGTCCCCTGGCTACAGCCCTGCTTCCCAACCTAAATAAATAACCTTAATTCTGGAGTGCATCATCTAACCCAGGAAATGGAAAGGAAGGAGGAAGAGGCAGTGTACAAAGATGTCTACTGATGTTTGACATGCAAATACTAAAACTGCCTACTGAGTTTAGAAATGTCTCCTCAGACTCAATCTGAAGTCACAGCACAGGGCCACCTGCTATGTACACAATTAAAATAACTAGCCGCCCGGCTATTCCTATAATGCCCACAAAGGGAACTGAGCATTGGGAGTCTTCCTTTTCTCACCAGGAAATCATTTATTTGCCTTTAACAATTTCCCAGCTTCCTAATTACAGCACAACACAACTGTTCAAGTTTTAGGCGATGGTAGGGCAAGACTGCCAGCAGTCATAGACCTAGAGTTTGAAAAGAATCAAGAAAGCGAAGAAGCCTGCCATCAAAGCTCAATAATCAGATGACTAAGTGGATTTTAAAATCGCAGTGAGATTTCCATCCAAGGGGAGAGAGGAAGAATTCCCAGGATTACTTTGGAATGTTGCTTAGCCCGGTTTCGTTAGTTCACTGAACCCTCCGATTTTGAGCCAGAATCCCTTGTAAGATGCCCACAAGCTCGCAAGAAAAACAAAACAAAACAAATAACCAAACCCTGCGTCCCCCTGCAACCCCAGAGCAGGGCCCCTGCCTTGCAGCACGAAAGAAAGCTCGGCCCTGCAGGAGGAGGTCGGGCTGGTAACCACTTCACCGGATTTCCCAGGCATGCAGAAGCCGGGGTCTGGGGGGCAGGGGGCTGTGGGGGAAGGGTAATCATTTCTCTTTACGAGCCATTTAAAAAAAAAAAAAATGACCGGTCTGGCATGCCTTTGCCATTCTGCTAGGACCAAAAAGAAAAAAAAAAAAAACAAAAACAAGTCAAACCTGATAGTTAATATTTTAATGCTTTAAAACACTTGTTAGATCGGATCGACTCCAGCCCGCAAACCCTGGGCTATGAGACCTGAATCCACTATTGCGAACAGTGGAGGTATTATTTCAAATTGCCACCTAAGGTTACAAAAAAAGAAAGAAAAAGAAAGAAGGAAAAGAAAAGCCCAAAGTAGTGTATGTACATAGGAGATCAACCAGACAAGATGCAAAAATGGCAAGCTGGAGACGCTGGACCCAAACGCGCCCTGACCGTCCAGATGCTTGTAAATCCAGGTTTCTGAGAGGCCGTGGATAAAAGGGGGTTCTAGGGGCGGGCAGGGGGCAGAGGCCCGAGGCCCGCGGAAGGAGGGAAATGATCTGCGAGGACACAGGTCAGCACGCCGGGCGCAGCGCTGCAGGAGGCGCCCTGGGAGCCCAGCACCCTGCACTGCCCTGGGGTCCCCCAAAGTTGGGTGGCCGGTGATCGGCAGCCCACCCCCTTGAAGGAAAGAAAAAGACATCGTGGCCTCCCACCCCCGCCCCCCGCACTCTTGAGCCTTCACATTAGGGTCTCGGGTCACCCCCGAGGGCCCTCAGAGGGCCTTCCCAGAGACCGGTGAAAAGCAGGCCCGGCGGCGCCCCATTTCCTTAGAAATACATCGAGTCCGCACGGAGGAGGCCATCCTCGCTCAGTCACCGATCCAGAACCTCAACCACGGAGGGGGAGGGCTCCCCACCCCGCACGCAGCCCCCGCCGGCCCCCTGTGCGGTCCCGCAGCCGCGCCGAGTCCGCCAAAAGCGCCCTAGGCGCTCGCGGCCTGGCCTGGTGGCCAAAGAAAAGGGCGCTCGGAGCTCCCAAGTTTGCGACGGGACCCGCCTGGGAAGTGTGACCTTCCAGTGGGGGGGGGAGGGAGGGGGGAACGGCCGGGTGCCAGGGATCGCCCCTAGAAAGCTAAATAAATAACCGCCCCGAGAAAGACCGCGCCGTGGCGCCGGCCGGCCCCGGGCCCGGGGGCTCCGCGCGCTCGCCGGCTCCGCCGCGCAGGAACGCCCGCAGGAAAATGCACACGCCACCCCGCGCCCCGGGCGCCTGCAGCCGTGCGGGGCGGGCCGGCCGGGCGGCGGCAGCCAAGGGGTTAACCGGGGAGAGCCCAAGACGCCACCGAACTGGGAAGCCAAAGAGAGAGAGCGGGGAGAGAGGGAGAAAAGAAAAGAGCCACACAGTCATCCTTCTCAGAGTGAAGAAACAAACAACACCCCCGAAGGGGGAGGGGGCCAGAGCGCCCAGGGGGTGGGGGAGGGGTGGGGGTTAAAATAAATAAATAAATAAGGACGTTCTCCTGATTCCCCCCCCCCCTCCCAGCCAAGCCCAGCTTGGAAAGAAAGAGCTCCCCAACATCGCGAGGCAGCAAACTGAAAGCAAGAACATGGCGAAGTGCAAACACATCCAGTCCACAAAAGGCAGAAAAGTTTGGAGAGTTTCGGGCGGCCTGGGCCGCGAGCGGGGGAGGGGAGGCGGGGGAGGGGGAGGGAGGGGAGGCGGGGAGGGGAGGGGAGGGGGCAGGGCAGGGGCCGCATGCGGGGCCGGGGCGGGCGGGGGCCGCGCGCACTGGCACTTACGGTTCGGGCGGTGGGTGAGAGCGATCCGTTGGGGAGGTAGGGGCTCGTCAGGTCGGGGATCATGATGAAGGGGTAGCCGGGATACGGTGGCCCCTTAAAGAGCCCTCCATCTTGCCTCTTGGCCGCTAACATGGCGGGGCGGCGAGGGGACGGCGGCGGCCGCGCGGAGCGGGAGAGAGCAGGAGAAACTTTTTTAGAAAAGTGGCCCCCGGGGCCCGCGCGCCCCGGCTCGGGCCGACACCGGACCGGACCGAGCCGGGGACGCGGGGAAGGCCCGGGGCGCACGCAGCCGCCCCCGGGGCGCAGCTCGGGCAGCCGGGGAGGGGGGCGCACGGGGGGTCTACTCACCTTCCTCCAAACTTTCCCGGGATTTATCTCGGAAACTTTCGGATCGAGGCGGAGGCCGTCTTTCCGCCTTCCCGGAGGGGCAGAGGTGGTGGAGGGGGCGAGGGGCAAACGCCACGCCGAGGTGGGGGGGTGACCAGGCGAGGGGGGGGACGAGGAGTCGACGGGTGGCGGGGATGGGGGGGGGGCAGAGAAACAGAGTTACAAGTTTTGTTTTGTTGTGTTTTTCAGCCGTGGCCCCGCACGCACTCGCCGGCCGGCCGCCCGCCCGGCCCCGCATGCGGCGCCCGCCGCCCCCCGAGCCCCGACTTCTCGCCTCCCGGCCACATTTGCCCAAACCCAGGGAAGAGATGAAAACCCCGGCAGCCCGAGGGGCTCTTCCTACCTCGGAATCGGAGGAGCTGTTTTGATTCGTTTCTGATTCATTGACTAGAGACGACTTGACATCAGCTAAATCCCTCTCCGCCGAGGAGTTTTCCGAGCTCTTCTCCTCCTGCTCGCCCTCGTCTTTGAAGGAAATCAGTTCGTCGTTGGCGCCTAGGTCATCTCCTCCACCGCCGTTCAGCTGCGGCATTTTTTTTTTTCACCCACCAGCAGCAATTTTGGATGAAAAATGAAGGAAGAAGAAAAGCCAAAAAAATAATCAACCGCCCCCCCAAAAAAAGTTTTGTTTTTCCCCCACAAAAAAAAAAAATATTGCCAGAAAAAGACGAGTCCAAGGTGAACTTTTTTTTTTTCTGCTTTGGGGTCTTTCTCTCCTGGGGAGGGGAAAAGAGGGAGGAGGGGAGGGGAAGGGGGGGAGATCTTCTGCACGCGTGAGTTTGGATTTCTTGTTTTCTCTCGTTCCCAAGGATCCGATCAATGTGCAAAAAAAAAAAAATAATAAATAAAAAGGGGGGTTAAGGAAAAAAAAACACCAACAACAACAAGAAGTCAGCTATAAAGAGCAGAGGGGGGGGAAGCCGAAGATACAGGAGGAGCTCGTGCCGCTCGGATTTGAGTGAGTTGAAGTTAGACTGAGAGCTTTTCAGTTCAAAGGCGGCGCTGATTGACAGATAGAAAAAGGGGGATCGAAATCCGGAGGAACGGAGTAGTCTGGGAGCGGAGATTATTGACAGGGCGAGAGGAACACACTCGCCTTAATGAGATGCCGGGGGCGGGGCCGGGCTGGTGACGTGTGCATAAATAAACAGCCGGGGTGGGCGGGACGGGGGCGGCCAACAATGATCCTTTCGGGCGCGGGGAGAGGGAGGGAGGGGGGCGGGCGGGGAAGGGGGCGCGGGAGGCGCGCGCGGGGCGGTGGGGGGGGGGGGGGAGCGGCCTGCGCGCAGCGCGCGCGCCGGGAGTCGGGCCCGAGTGCGGGACTCGCTCCGGGAGGGGGGGCGGATTCTGAAAGACAATGCGGAGTGGGAGAGGAGGGGAAAAGGGGTGGCGACCGAGTCAGGAATCCGAGCCCTGCGAGGCGGAAGGAAAGCCCACTTGGGGGGCGGGGATGGGGAGAGGCCGGGGGGGTGGGGGGCGGGGGAAGTGCACTTTGGAAATAGTAGAAATAAGTCTCCGGGAAGAGGGGTGGGGATGCCAAGGGGTGCGTCCCGCGGCGCGATCTGCCACCCCGGGGCGGGACGTGGCACCCGAGGCCGAGGGCACCGGTGTCCCCTGCGCTGCAGAGGCCGGGCAGAGTTCCCGGTCCCCGCTGCAGGGAAGGGACCCCGAGCCCGCCCCCCGCCCCGCTTGTGTTCAGTGATGGTGAGTCGTGTCATTCCACGCGGAGTCCCACCAGGATAAAAATGTCGACATGACTTTCTTATCCGAAAACACACACACACACACTGAGGGTGTGAGGGCCGCTGGAAACGTCCTTAAGGAGAAATAATACGTGCTTCTTCTAAATGTTAAGTGTGAGTGTGTGTGCGCGTGTGTGTTTAAACTGACGTTGGAGGCGGTAGGCAGTGATCGAGGAGTCAAAGTCCTCTCTGACTTTGGAGGTGAAAAGTTGGGGCGTTAACAGCGCCAAGGGAAAATAAAACTGAAAGTTCTCTGAGCCGGTGAGGCTTGGGGCTGCAGCCTTCCTCCCAGGGGGTCTGAAATGAAATCCCCAAGACCGACCCGGACCACATCACCCAGAGGTAGATGACCCTGGCAGGAGATTGCTAACCCAACCACGCTGGAAGAACTCGGGAAAGAGCGGGTGAAACTTGGAGTTCGAGACAGGTATCTGTCGATCCATTAGGCACCCCTAGGGGAGCAGATTGATTGGCTGCAAAAATGGGGAAACAAATTATGTTAAAAGGACAAAAGCCCAGCTCCGAAAACACAGTGTTCCTAAATGATGGAGCCAGAACATTCGTTTTCTTGTAAATATCCAGTGAGAAGGAGACTGGAAGCTACAACTTGAAAAGAGGACAAAAACCACCAGAAAAAAAAAAAAATCAATGGTGATTAGCCAATTGCCTATTAGGAAGGAACATGTTGGTCTGCAGTCTATACTGTAAGTTATCCCACCTTTTCCTAAAAATTCTCGCACATTTTTGAGCTGGTCCATCAGTGCCTATCTTTCCAAAAGAAAAGCAGATTTACATGGAACAGAACATTTAGGGTACAGCAAAACTTTTATAGGCTAAGGTCTTCAAAAGAAGACTACTAAAAATAAGGATACCAAGACAGACAAGGCCAATGAATTCCCCAGCACTGGAAACAAAACAAAACAAATCACAACTACATTTGCACAGGAAAGAGCAAGATGCAGGCAACATAAAAATGGTTTGGAGAAGCCAGGCACCTGAGGCTCACATCTGTAATTCTAGATACTCAGGTGGTTGAAATCTGAAGATCACAGCTCAAAGCCAACCCACACTTAGGGAAGTCTGTGAGACTCTTCTCTCAGCGAGAAGTGGAGCTGGGCGTCAGGTGGTAGAATGCCCACCTGGAGCAGAAAAAGTTAGGGGGCAATGTCCAGGTCCTGAATTCAAGCCTTAGAACTGACACCAAAAAAAAAAAAAAAAAGTGGATTAGGGGAGGCAAAGAAGAAATCACTGTTACACTCCCAACTTAAATATTTGTCAGAAAATCAGAAGTAGAGTAAGTAGGAGCCTGAAAAGAAGTCAAACAAATGTGTACATTTAATCAGACAGGATTGCATAGGATACAAAGCACAGGGCTAATTAATCTCAGCAGGTAGGACTAACCTTCAAACCTCATAAATAAATAAGGCAGGTGCAATGTCTGAGAGGGGGAACTGAGACATGAAGGGGATTATTTCAAGATACCAAGTAAAAAACATGAAGAATGAAATGCTTCACTGTTAAGTCCATGTACAAATGGATTTAACAGTTTTCCTTTTTTAGGTCTTTCACTTGATTCCCTTTAGATTTCCACATTTAGCCAAATGACTGTATCTCTACACACTTGCTAATTGTCACCCAGTGCTTGAGTTTGTCTATATCCTGTGTGGACTTTCCATAGGCCTATTCTGGGTTGTTTTCTGGTGGGGTTTTTTTTTTTTTTTTTGCATTTTTTTGTTTTTGTTTTTGTTTTTATATAAACTGGAACATATTTATAGTAACTCAATTTTATGTCTTTTTTTTGCCCTATAATAGTGGATTTGTTTTTTGTTTTTTAATTCAACCTGACCTGAAGTTGGATAATGGCTGCCTATGTTCTTCACAGACTACCTGTATAATAAAAGCCCATAAATATACTGAATTGAATTTTCAAAGGATATCAGTATTTTTTTCAAACATCTGGCCTGTTATGTGTATGTGTGTGTGTGTGTGTTTGCACACACTATTACTAGGATTTGATCTCAGGGCCTCACATACTTGCTTGGCATTTTTACTCAAAGCTGGCATTCTGCTACATCTCCACTTCTGGCTTTCTTGCTGGTTAATTGGAGATAAGAGTCTCACAGACTTTACTGCTCAGGTTGGCTTTGAACCATGATCCTCAGATCTGAGCCTCCTGAGTAGCTAGGATTATAGGTGTGAGCCACCAGCACCTGGCTTGGCCTACATTTTTATCATATGTAAATAGTGTGGAATTCTTTCCCACAGTTAGTAACCCCATTCACTTGAGCATACCCTTATTTTTTTCATTCAAAGGGAGCCTTTAAATCTACACACACACACACACACACCTTATATCTTTGAATTAATTAAGCAATTAGAAGTTATTCCTTGATAGCACATGTGCCTTGTTTCATTTCATTGCTTCATGCTATAAAAGGCAAGATCTGAGGGTCAATAACCCCTGATCTCACAAGGGCTCAGAGTGCTGCCCACATGGGCAGGATTGGAACTGAAACTGGCAAGAAGTAAGGTAATATAATACTTAAAGGAAAAGTCACGTTGGTCCACAATGTGGACATGTAATTTATAGATTTGGTGGAAAATCTTAAACAACAGTTGGTTTGCATCCAAATGTTAAGAAACATCTCTCTAGGCACTGATGGCTCTTAGTTTATAGAATTGAGTGCTGCCCAAATGGCAGAGAGTCTAAACTCACACAGAGAATACAGCAGTCTGTTCTGATAGCTGGCCTGAGCTTTGTAAGGGATTTGCCCACTGTGGTCTGTGTATTGCATACAAAGAATGGACAGTTGTGGGAGGAGCTGTGTCCTCATCTTTTGGAGCCCCTCCCATCTTTTGGAGCCCCTTCCTGAGGCCAGCCCAAGATGTGACCTGTAAGAATAGGTCCCTCAGCCTCTTCTTCTCCACCCTCCACTGCTCTCTTGCTTCTTTACTTCTCAGTTGTCCCCTCTCCTCTGGCTTTTCTTTCCTTCCCTCTTTCCCTGTGGAACCTGTGTTGATATTGGTAACCAACATTTTTCCCTTAAAACTTAATAGGTTACCTCTCTAGGGTCACTTTTCTTGTTCATCTCTATGGGCAAGTATTAAAAAGAAGTTACAGTTTATATAAGCTACCTGAAGGGTACTAGGTCTCTGGAAGGGAAAATATAGTGGAGTATTAGGCACACACAAACTATGGGAAAGTGCTTAATAGGGATTGCCAAAATAGACCACTGTGCCTTGGCACCTGTGGCCCCTTACCCTAGAGGGTAAGGTGGTTAGGTTGAATCTTTTCTAGGTGCTTTTGAACACCCAAAGGGTCCGTGGTTTTATACTTACCCAGTTAGGGCCAAGAGCTTCACAGCACACTAGCCAAGAAGCCAAACCACATTGACAGGTTGGCTTTGGAATTCAGGGAAAACAATGATGTTCTGCTTGAACTTTATACCAGAAGGAGGGGACCACATGTTGACAACCATATACGTAACTCCCCCAATCACTAGGCAAGACTCTACTAAATTAGAGGGGGGAGGGGGGAGGGAGGGAGAGGGAAGAAAGAGAGAGAGAGAGAGAGAGAAACTTCTGTTCCCATGTGATTTGTCTTTAAAGCTCTGGCTCCAAGATGGACGATCTGTTACCCACTATGTTGGACTTATCTGTACAAGGAGTGTGGTGACCAAGAGAAGCCAAAAAAAGAATCAGAAAACACAAGGAAGCTATAAAATGGGGAAATGTTGAGAAGCCAGAGTCCTGATTCCATGTGAGATTTTTCTGTTTGCTTTGTGTTCTACGTGGGTGAGGGTTCCTTATTTGGCCCTTCAGGAAAGCTCCTCCCGTAGCCAACATAGGACTACATTCGATGTTAGCCAAGAGTTTTCCATTTTAGCAGGAGGAAGGCATAGGCAAAAAGACTCAGTTTTCCTCTGGAAACATGCCATCCAGGGACTAAAAAGAAAAGCTCAACGGAAACTCAAGGAACAGGCTTGTCTTCTGACATTTGTCTGAAGTGTCTGGCTTGATCACCTTGCTTCTGCTTACAAGGGTAATCAAGTAACAATAATGCCTGCCTTATTACTATAATGCCAGGGTAAATGGTGAGCTGTGTGCCCATGTGCAGGCCTTCACCACCTGCTTTCAGAGGCAGATCACTACTACTACAGGCATGTGTGACAGGAACAGCATTCCAAAAGACATCAGTCCTCGGTAAATACACTTTGCTTATTGACAAGATGACTTTTAACCCTCCTAGTAACAGAAGAAGGCCAATAAATGAAACACTTACTGCATAATAACTTGCCTTTTTTTTTTTAAAGGGGGGGAGTG